TGAGCCACCTGCATCCATCGACTTCCTGCATGTCTTACCAGGTCGTCGCTCCATCTAGTGAGGGTACGTCCCCATAAATTATTATAATATTAAAAAATAAGTTATTATAAAAATGTTCAAACTTTTTTTATAGGAAAAGGGTGACAAGCGAGCAGCACACAGTCCACCTGATAAGGGGTTGCTGTGCTGTGGCCCATAGACATCTACATCTATCCTAGTTTGCGAATCAAAATGAAGGTGCGTTGTCTGCCTTGAGGACTAAGATGGAATGCCTCTTTTCCGGTAAAAAGGGTCTCCGATTCTCTACACTCACCATACGAAACACAGCAGCATTAAGCTGCTATTTGAAGCTGGTATTCTGTGAGAGCGTGGTCCTTCCCCGGTCGAGCCGACCCATTCGAACTATACAATTAATACGGCTGCAGCATGGCTCTACCACGTAATAAAACTCAAACTAACTCTACCTACTACAAATTCGTGGCAATTTTTTTTACTATTATAGTTGTGCCACTTTACGCCATGATATAATATACGCCAGAGTGTATTCAGACATGTGAAGTATTCTCTATTGTAGCATAACTAACTCCTATATATTTTGAATAGACTGCTTCGTTGGCGGAAATCACCTCAGGGTTCGAACTTCGGATCCCGGGTCGGGCCAAAATCAGTTAAGTTTTTCTATCAATAAATCCTCAATAGCAACTCGACAGGTAGTTGGCGGTGTATCTCTCCCGTGCCTCGGAAAGCACGTAATGTTGGTCCTGAGCGTGATCTCTCTCCGGTCATGTCGGAATACCGTTCCGTTTGTCTTTGAGAGTGAGGGAATGAAGAGTGCACCTGTGATTGCGCGTACACTTGAGCACTATAATACTGTTCTGCGCAAATGGCTAGTCTCCATAGAAACTGGCCCTCGTGACCTAAATTAGGTCTGAAAGACATTATTTTTATATTTAGAGTAATAATCGACAACTACATCATGTCAGAATGCCCATCTCGCAAAAGAAGCAGCAAGAGTCTGTATTCGTTTTTCTTTTTCCAACATAACTACAAATACTGTAACGTGGTAGAGCACCCCTGCAGCTGCTTCATGGCTGCAGCACCAAAATTTGACCAGGGAAGGACTACACTTGCACACATACATGAAATAGCAGCGCGTAATTCAGATTTTTCATATGTATGAGTGTTGGGAACCGAAGGATCTTTCTACTGGTAACGAAGTTATACCTTCTTGGTTATAAGGGGTGACAACTCATCTGCATTTCCATTCTTAATCGAGAATGTGGATGTTATTTTTTTGGTATTATTACAGGTCAATGCAACAAAAAGAAAATAAAACCAGTTAAATTACATTCTAAAAAATAACATTTATTATAATATTTCACATCCATTTATTTAACATATCTACAATAATTACATAAGCTGATAGCATAATATAGGGTTATTGAGGCACTTGAACACTATTTTTATTGCTTAGTGAAAGAGACTCTCACTTTGTCCATCTGTTCCATCTATTCCAACCGGCAATCACAATTTCATTCAGTTGAAAACTCTAAATGTAATATTCAGTAACTGTTATACTGACAGACAGATAAAACCTAATTACACATATCTGCGAAAACCAAAAAATATAAATATTGATTATATATTAATTACTCATCATGTGCTGAGAGTTAGAATAAATTTAACAGACGTCACTATTTTTATAGTCATAACGAATTGTAATACATTAAATTGCAAATTTTAAATTAACAAGTTACACACGCACGACGACGACGCATAGCACACGACGATACAGGGTTATTTTTCAGAGTATCGAAATTTTATATTTAAATTCAAATACATAAATAATGATATACCCTTACGGCAGTTTTTGAAAATACGAGTAAATAAGGTTTCTGCTTTTATTTGAACTGATTCCACATTGAATGTGATTTATGCGCAACGACTACGCGTACGCGCGCTTGTCTGTGTGCGATTCAATTCACAAAGTTTTTGCCGACCGATCGATCGTTACGAATGTGTGCGTGCGTAGTAAAATAGTAGACGTTAGATATGTATGAGTGACAATCAGTTAAAATAACGTATTACAATGCATTCTGAATTTAAAAGATAAAAAGAACAGAATGTTCGAGATATTTCTTAATTAATTTTTTTAAAAAATATTAACAATGCTATAAACATTACTAATATTCCCTTTAACCACTCGTGGTAAGCTTAAATTGCTTGTGTTACGAGTGGTTCACGCCAGTAGTCGAATGGTGGATTCGACCCCACGACCTTTTTGAGTTCGCGGTCCGCGCCCTGCCATTGGCTACTGTCGCTTCAAAATTTACTTGACCATTCACCTATATTTGCTTATTTTGAATCTTCTTTTCAAATTTGAACGTTATTGCAAAATAACTCTGTATGTTATTTTAAAGAATTTTCCCATATTTCTTATATACAAAAAAAAAATAATAATATATTTATATTTGTGTTATTACCACGATTAGAAAGTTCTATGAACATTGGAAATAATTCTATAAATATATACACATTACATATTATATACAATAAAACAATTGTGAGATTAAAATAGAGATTTCAAGCTGCATAATACAATTTTACATAATATATATTTATAATACTTATGCACTAACTTATTGCCCATTAAAAATAATATCTAGTTATTAAAATTTTTTGCAGAAAAATAAACAAGCCGTCTGTTTTTAAAATATTTATGCTATGCTAACTATCGGTTTGGTGAAGTATCACTGTTACGATGCATTCAGACTTAAAAAGTCTAAAGGGAAAATGTTAAACCTAAATTATTAATGGGTAAACAATGAGCCTCAGAATAAATTTAATAATTTAGGACTCATTTTTTATGTAACGAATACGTAATGTCACTGTCACCACGTCATTTAATGTTCCGAAGCCTAAAATCTGTTCGTCGACAATTGATAAAAAGCAAGGGCCCTAAACTCCCGCTTGACAGCAGCTGCGATACTCGTACAACAAAACTCTGTGCTTGCGGCGATAAGCGACGTCCGTAATACAAATTGCGATACTTAATCGACAGACGCTATTGCGAGACGTTTTCATAATATTTATCAACTCTCGCTGAAAAGACTTAAAGTAGTGATACTTGGCATACGTATGAAATTAAATTATTTATCAAGAATAAAAAAATAAGAGGAATAACAAGCTAACATTACAGAACGCTAACAATACGCCATCCATATAAACATTAAAAAATTAGCTCTGGTTTCACTTGATATACATCAGGGCAGCATGGCGAACACTTCCTACCATAAAACCTGAAAGGAAGCTTGTGGCGAAAAGTGGAATGTTTGAGGCTGTCGCTTTAGCTTCTTTATATCCTCATAATTATCAGCATTTAAATAGTTCATTAGACATGAACCTCTTACACAGTTGGGTAGATTTGTTAATAGCCACGCTTTACTGATAGATCAATTATCACAGCACTAGTTATATCTATTGGCTTCGCTTTACCTTCCCTGTCGACTGTTATGATATTTACAGTCTGGCTTAAGAGGTTACCAATCTTTTCGACTGTATGTAGTGAGGAGCTCGAACCCGTTTGTCCGATTCCGGAAGTGTTAACGCCGTTTTCGCACATATTTTAAATTGAATGCATACACCAATCACAATTTTAATTATTTCTCATCCCTTTCTCACTCCTTATCCAAAAAAATCGGTGAAAAGAGATGGCATTCGCTGCAATTAGAAGATTCGATATAAACACGACCATTTTTTCAATTAGTCTTTTTAGCACCGCCTGTCATTAACCCGCTGTGAAATATATCCATCCCGCGTGAATGTGAACTGTTTCTATGAATTATACATTGAAGTAATATGTACTTACGTACTAGAACAGCAATTTCAAACAAAAAATGTGCGCTACTCTGTTTTCGCGCGGTTGGTTTTCTTATCATAGAATAAACATAGGTAGAATGATCAGTAGGTAATAAAAGATTGTACTGTTAAATAGGTAAATTATATCGAGAACAATTTTTTAAATTTTGTCATTTATTTTGTATATTATTATATTTGCTTATTTAATATAATATTATATCACAATTACATTTTAATGATATTTTATCTCAATATTTTAAAAGGTATCTATCTCAAATTTAAAAAAAAACATACTAAATATATGTTTAACAAAACTTGTTAATATAACATTTAAATTACAAATATATGTTTTTAAATTAGAATAAGAGCCGTTCATAAATACTGGGCACGCGAGAGTTAAAAATTGACGAATTTATTCCACTTTGACTTTGATGTGGAAACCTAAAAATAAAATATAAGAATAATTAGCAGATTTAAATATAAAAAATTTGGCCTAATTATGATAACTCATATGTTTCTACAAAAAATGTGTATAATAATATATTCGTTATATAGTTATATATAGTACCCACAGAAATGTCGCATCTGAACAAATTAATTTCATAATCTATATTACGTGACACAAGATGGCGTCTTAGGAATAATTTGTTTTATTACTAATTTATAATACTTTTTTTTATTGATTAAGTATCTTATTAACCAATGAAAAGTAATTCCTTGGTTTTTACTGACATTTCTTGAATTATTTGTGCAATATCTAAGTACGCACGACGGCATATTTTTATCACGAGATTTTTTTTAAATCAACACAACACGTGTCAACTCTACAAGCGCCTAGCGAGTGACTGATTAAAGTGCAGTGTATGCACCGCAGTTGTATGGAACATAGTAGCTGAATGCAATGTCGCCTCTAGTATGTAGTACATATTAGCTCAATGGAATTATATTTAGAAAACTATTGTGAGCGAGTGACAGAAAAGACCAGCAGCCGCACAGAAAAGAGCTGAGCTTTCGGGTAAGTCACCGACTATTCCCTCCTGCACTAGCATAATAGCGCATTTTGCACCACCCAGTGAGCATGAGCAACTATCAATAAATAAATGTCTATTGGTGAAGTTTTGTAAAGTTTGTTTGATACGTGTTCATTGGCTGTCAATGACTAGCCAACGATGCGAGGAGCGCTCCACTTGTTGCTGCAACAGTGGGTTGCGGACGCGCAGTTTTACTTCCAGCGAACCACCGGCCGGTCGACGTCCGTCCATCAGCTGCGAGCAATACAGAAATGTCAAAGAAATGTTTAATAAAACTCTTTGACCAACAAATAAAGATAGGCGTTTTAACACGATGGTTTCATTTCGAAGTACGAGCGCTCTGGTACGAGCAGAAAATACTTGCAAGTATTAAGGTACGTGCTATGAGTCGGATGAGATAAGAACTTGAAACATAAGATATGAAAATACTTGTATAGGAAAACGATCCATATGGCTATGTGAATTAGGAACACAATCGTATTTGCGAATAAAAAATACTTTATACTTCCAAATATTTTTTCAATTATACGATTGTGCTCCTTATTCATCATAGGACAACACGAAATACAGATCGATTGTCGACTCGGGACACGTCGCGAGTAGCACGGGGATCGTGACGTACAAGATTTTGGCACGACACGAACTAGACTCAATACTAACAAATACTTTCAAGTATTTTAATTAAAATCTGGTTTTTGGACTCTGGTATTTTTATGTACATATACAAGTATATCTCATCCCTAGTCAAAAACCATGTCCAACTTATTGTAAGAACACGCACTCACGCACACATATGCATCTAAAATCATTTGGAACCAACGATCTAGTTTTAGATGCATATGTGTTTGTCTTTTACTTTTATGGACTTTCAAAGAAAGAGAGAAAGATGTGTATGTGAGTGCGTGTCGGGAAATTGAGCAAAATTACAGCGTCACTTGAAGTAAATGCAGCGCTCCATCCTTTTTTTGCTGATTTTATATAAAATAATAAAATTATTTGATTAATCCTCAATCCCCCCTCACTAACTCATTTTTTATTCCATCTGTCGTTCGACCGTCAATATATTGTAATATCAAAGCCGTTAGTTATTAAACCACTAAAGTCAAATAATACAATAAGTATCAAAGATCAAACAGCGTTACGTGGTGAACGCTACAACCGTTTTATGGCGACGGCATTTTAATAGATTCACTTCGACCGGGATAACACTTGGTTCATACAGAATAACAGATGAGAACGCTTTCTAATAGTGCTGTGTTAAAAATGGTCTAGGGTAAACTACCCAATTATGGACACTTTAAGGCAAAAAGTAGTTAAATAAACTATTCTTGTAATTTATATGTACTTATTAATATTCAGTCATTACCATTCTCTTAAAAATTGGCGATATTGTGCAAATTATAATTATAACGCCTTTTAAACAGATAACGAGTCTCATATCTCGCATCTTAATCTGAGTCATCAGGCGTGATAACCCATCTGCGTTTTGATTTGTAAACGAGAATCGATGTAGGTGTATATGGACCACAGCATCCATTTACCATCAGGTAATGTAAGACCCACGTTTTACGGTTCTATTGGCCGGCAAGATTTTTTACCGTTTGTATATTAAGTGTATAGTATCTGTTGTTTTGCAGTATGTTAAGATTAGGTAATATTTGTGATAGTTTTAAATTCTAATACTAATAAAAGTTATATTAATGATTGTTTGTGATAGGTTGAACTTTACGCTACTCTTATTCGACCTGTGCAGTAACCGTGTTTTTGTGGCAATCCATGCTAATCTAATGGATATGTTGTGTGTATGTACGTGTTGGTGAATGTTGGCAGCACTGACCGGGAACGCGTCGTGCAGCGTGACCTGCGTCTCCAGCGGCGCCAGCTTGACGGCGGCGGTGGCGAGCAGCGCGTCCCGGCTGAACCAGCCGCTGCAACACACACCACACACCGCGTCAGCGCACCCGCCGCCGCTGCGACCAACCCCACACACTACACGCTACCACCTCGCGCCCGACATGCTACGTGCGAGGACAAACATTACGGGGACAGGGGACACTGCACTCAATGGATAATGGATCACATACTAAACCAATGCCAGCGAGACGAGATAAAGATGTTAAAATTAATTATTAGTGTCTGACCAAAGCTTCAGCTTCGACCACCTTCGGCAAATAAAATCTTTGGCTTCTGCCAAAATGAGCCGAAGTTTTAGCTGAAGCCAAACGTTTCTAGCAATCGACGAAATTCAACAAACGCAACAAATAAAATTATCAATAACTAGGCAATAACTAAGCGTGATTTTATAAAGGTTCAAACAACGAAGGTAATTTTTTTATGATGGCATAAACACAAAATTACCTTAAGTTTTTTTTTGGTTTAATAAACTTAAATATACGTAGAATGTTTTCCTGATGAAGATGCTTGTAAATTATATTGTTTGAGTAATCACATTACATAACAATAATAACATAGCTATTACTGGAAACTATTACGAATTAACTAGAAAAAAAAGGGTTTTATTGTTAAAAACCTTAGAAATTCAATTTAAAAGAAGGAGCAGACTTTGTCCAAGATAAGTTTAGTTTAATATATTATAAGTGGTTTAAGGTATCATCCCCCATCAGGCTTAGCACCTATCTTACAAACACCCTGTATATCTCTATCAATATTAATAACTAACTTGGTTATAAGTACCAACCGAACAAAACGCGAAAACGAAAAATAAATAACTCTTCATTTTTATTTAAAGCAGGAATACACTTGAATTAAAAATAGTGATCAAATGTTATCAGTTCTGGATTCAAACCACTAGCCAATACGGTTCAGTGGCGCAGTGCTTAGCAATGAGTGTCGGCGCTGAGGGCCGCGGGCACGAATCCCGCACAGAACAAGGATTATTTTACTGACTTTTTACTTTTATGGAACAAGTATTTGTATGGTCTAGAAATAATTGTTGTGCGTCTGGATTTTTTTTTTTTTTTATAGAAGAGGGGGCAAACGAGCATGTGGCTCACCTGATGTTAAGTGACTACCGCCGCCCATGATCAACCGCAACACAAGGGGAATTGCAGGTGCGTTGCCGGCCCTTTAGAAAGGAGTAAGCTCTTTTCTTGAAGGTCCCCAGGTCGTATCGGTCCGGAAAAATCACCGGTGGTAAATTATTCCACAGAGAGGTTGTACGCGGAAGAAAACTCTTTTTGAAACGTACAGTGGTGGACCGCCAAGCATCCAGATGGTGTGGATGGTATCGGGACGTTTGCCGTGTAGTGCGTTCACGAAATTTGGCGGCTGGGATTAATCCGAACAATTCCTCAGAGCACTCCCCGTGATAGATGCGATAAAATACGCAAAGAGATGCAACATCTCTTCGCAGCGCCAGTGAATCGAGCCGATCGGAAAGCACTCGGTCGTCGACGATTCGAGCCGCTCTGCGCTGGATGGGGTCAAGTGGAAGGAGCTGGTACTGGGGAGCCCCAGCCCAGAGATGGGAACAGTATTCCATGAGCGGCCGAACCTGCGCCTTGTAAAGTTGCAGGCGGTGTGCCGGCATGAAATACTGTCCCGCTCTGCTGAGCACGCCAAGCTTTTTAGAGGCCAATTTGGCCTTCCCTTCCAAGTGACCACGAAACTGCACGTCACTCGATATGTCGACGCCGAGGATTCCGATACTGGCTGAGGCAACAAGGGGAGTGCCTTGAAACTGAGGGGATACGACAAAGGGGTTCTTTTTAGCGGTTAACGCGCAAACTTGTGTCTTCTGGGGGTTAAACTGGACTAGATTTAGTCGCCCCCAATCCGAGACTCTGTCCAGCAGAGACTCGACTTCAGACACAAGTTTGTCCCGGCACTCAGAGACGTTTTCCCGAGAAATATTTGCTCGGCCGGTGTAAAGAGCATCACCAGTGCTGTCATCTGCATAGCAATGAATGCTACGGGTTTGCAACATATCATTGATATGCAGAAGAAACAGCGTTGGCGATAGCACGCAGCCCTGTGGAACACCAGCATTAATAAGCTTGCAATCGGAGCTTGCACCGTCTACAACGACCTTGATGCTCCGATCTTCAAGAAAACTGGTGATATTTGTTCTTATGACATTTATGTACGTAAATACGACATAGGAGAAAATAATTCTAGTGTGGGGATAACGCTTTTTTAAATAGAAGAGAAATTACAATAGATCACACAATGGATGACGACAGCCACTTCTCGCTCGCAAAATCACTTGCAATTGTAACGCAACTCTATAAAAGTAACCTTTACATTCTTTATCTTCTCGCTGGCTTTAATTATGCGTGCATGATAAGAATAGTATTAAGTATGCCGATAACTTTACTTTCGATAGTAAATTAAAAGTACTTTTAACTTTAAAAGTATTTATTACTATCGCAATAACATTGTTTGTCTAAAAATAAATAGATATAAAGGCCTTTTAAGCAAATTAATTTATTTTGAGATAACAAACAAAATTCCACCGTAACATAGTTTATATACAACTAAGATAAAATTGAACGTTTTTTGTGCTTCAAATTTTTTTTGCACACTACATACATGAAGCTAGTGCTGAATGCGAAAGAAAATGCCAGTTCGACATTACTATTCTTATGATGAACACATATTGGGTGCAATGAGATGAAATGTTTTCAAATACACAACTATTGTGGAAATGATACATTTGCTATTACGTAAATGTATACAATTTTAAAATAAGCATGCTAAATAGTTAGACGGAAATAAACAACATCTGTGTACTATGACTTATACTTAAGAAATATTTTGCTTTGGAAGTTAATCTCAACAATGAATAAGTAAGAACAAATGTTCACAACCCTGTTCTCATGCCAATACAAATGCTTATTTTACAGCTATTTAAAAAATACTAGTAACGCTATTGAAATCATAATCTTGCTAAATTGGAATTAAGGAATTTTACTAATACAACTAGATGGCCAGATCAGAACAAATACAAATGAAATTTTATAAGTTGCAAATTGTATCCTTTTCGCTAAACTAAATATAGTATAAATTGACGTTAAGTATGATTAAATACAAAAGCCCATGGGACGACATTGAATATGATGACATAATCAACGGTAAAACAACGCAAGCAGATAAATCATATACGCAGATAACATGCGATATTTGTTCCAAAATAATTATATTTTCATTATACATACAACTATCCAATTTACATTAAAACTTTTGTTCATTATAGCCGGGGAGCTTTTACTGGTAACAAGCCAATTCAGTCCGTCCACGGAGAGCATTGTGCCTGCTGTCCATGCCTTCAGACCGGAGCAGCAATACATAAGTGTTACATAGACGGATTGCTAGGCTAAAATGAACCGTGTTAATTTGTTATTGCAATTTGTATAATAAATTTACAAATTTGCAAAATTGCAATTGGAATGAATTGGGAAAAATGAAACAGGAGATAGCAGAATTACAGGGCAGAATTTTTTACGTGGTAGAACCGCGTAAAAAATTATGTAGCTATAATGTAGCTGTGGCGTCAGCTATATTATAGTTGTAGCACGAATGGGTCGGCTCGACCGGGGCAGGACCATGCTCTCACAGAATAACTGCGCTGCTGTGTTTTGTATGGTAAGTGTAAAGAACCGTAGACCCTTTTTACTAGAATCGAGGCATTCCATCTTAGTCCTCAGGGGTTCCTTCTAAAATAAATCCTTAGACCTGTTTTGGAGCCATGGAAAAGGTTAGAGGTCACTGGAGGCTTAACCTGGGAAAAAACCTGGAAAGAATAGGGTGGTTATTGGTACTCCAACTTGAAATATTAGCTTAATGCATCTGTGTTTCGTATGGTGAGTGTAGAGAACCGGAGACCCTTCTTACGGGAACTGAGGCATTTCATATTAGTTACCAGGCATTTGCATTTTGATCCTTAGTGGATGCCTACGGGCCATACAATATTCACTTAGCATGAGGTAGACGGTGTGCTCGTTTGTCACTCAATGCTATAAAAAAAGGAATTTTTCTGATAACAACTCAAAATAAAAAAACTGCGGTTACCAACCTGCCAAGTGTAAAAACTACGACAAATATCCACTCTGTGATGCAATCTGTGCGAGAGGCCTGTGTTTAGTATTGGACAAAAATTTCCATCACAGATAAATACGGTTTTGGCCAACTTTGTCAAATGATGGTTAAGCTCACCCTTTTGAATAGACTTCGAACTTGATCCCGTGTCTCTTGAAGACCCGAAGGCAAGGTCTGGCAGATCGCTGTATGGGGAGCGTGAACACGGCATCGTACTGCGGACTGTTGCTGTCCTTCACTGTGCTCGTGCGGTCGATCACTGGCGCTTCCTGGAACAGGAATATATTCAAATTATAATTACAGCCTCTTGTTCTGCTGCGGATATCTCTGTGTGGATTTTATCACGAAGAAAAACCCCGGACAAAGCCCTTTACATATTTAATCATCATCATTACAGCCTGTCATAAATCCATTGTAGTTTAGTTACTATGACGAAACAATGCAACTAAAATATTAAAAGATATCCCTTATATAAGGAGTACATAATATGTTCTAATGTAATGTGGAAGTAATATAAAATTCGTTCAGTAAATAACTGGAAACATGTAACACGAAACCTACCTATGTACCTACATACGTCATAACCTATATAATATATAAAAATTAAAGTTTGTTTCTTCGAATTTCATGCGCTGCCATACTTTCATCAGATTGCCATACCTTTCATACGCTAAAACTTTGTCAATTTATATGTATAGCACAATTAGCTTACACTAGGTGGCGCGCGTATCGTACCGATTAATATATTTGAAAGTCATATATCATTTCAATTTCAATGAATGCATTATTCATCATTCCTAACCATTGAAGTATTATGTACTTACGTACTAGAACAGCTATCTCAAACAAAAAATGTGCGCTACTCTGTGTTCGCGCGGTTGGTTTTTTTATCATAGAATAAACATAGGTAGACTGATCCGTAAGTAATATTAGATTACATTGTTTAAATAGGTAAATTATATCGAGAACAATATTTAAATTTTGTCATTTATTTTGTATATTATATTTGCTTATTTAATATAATATTACATAATATTATATCACAATTACATTTTAATGATATTTTTATCTGAATATTTTAAAAGGTATCTACGTCAAATATAAAAAAAACATACTAAATGTGTATTTAACAAAACGTATTAACATAACATTTAAATTACAAATTTTTTTTTTTTTTTATAGAAGAGGGGGCAAACGAGCATGTGGCTCACCTGATGTTAAGTGACTACCGCCGCCCATGATCAACTGCAACACCAGGGGAATTGCAGACGCGTTGCCGGCCCTTTAGAAAGGAGTAAGCTCTTTTCTTGAAGGTCCCCAGGTCGTATCGGTCCGGAAAAATCGCTGGTGGTAAATTATTCCACAGAGAGGTTGTACGCGGAAAAAAACTCCTTTTGAAACGTACAGTGGTGGACCGCCAAGCATCCAGATGGTGTGGATGGTATCGGGACGTTTGCCGCGTAGTGCGTTCACGAAATTTGGCGGCTGGGATTAATCCGAACAATTCCTCAGAGCACTCTCCATGGTATATGCGAAAGAAAATGCAAAGGGATGCAACATCTCTTCGCAGTGCCAGAGAATCGAGCCGATCGGAAAGCACTCGGTCGTCGACGATTCGAGCCGCTCTGCGCTGGATGTGGTCAAGTGGAAGGAGCTGGTACTGGGGAGCCCCAGCCCAGAGATGGGAACAGTATTCCATGTGCGGCCGAACCTGCGCCTTGTAAAGTTGCAGGCGGTGTGCCGGCATGAAATACTGTCCCGCTCTGCTGAGCACGCCAAGCTTTTTAGAGGCCAATTTGGCCTTCCCTTCCAAGTGACCACGAAACTGCACGTCACTCGATATGTCGACGCCGAGGATTCCGATACTGGCTGAGGCAACAAGGGGGAGTGCCTTGAAACTGAGGGGATACGACAAAGGGGTTCTTTTTAGCGGTTAACGCGCAAACTTGTGTCTTCTGGGGGTTAAACTGGACTAGATTTAGTCGCCCCCAATCCGAGACTCTGTCCAGCAGAGACTCGACTTCAGACACAAGTTTGTCCCGGCACTCGGAGACGTTTTCCCGAGAAATATTGGCTCGGCCGGTGTAAAGAGCATCACCAGTGCTGTCATCTGCATAGCAATGAATGTTACGGGTCTGCAACATATCATTGATATGCAGAAGAAACAGCGTTGGCGATAGCACGCAGCCCTGTGGAACACCAGCATTAATAGGCTTGCAATCGGAGCTTGCACCGTCTACAACGACCTTGATGCTCCGATCTGCAAGAAAACTGGTGATCCAATCGCACAATTTCTCGGGAAGCCCATAGGAAGGGAGCTTCGAAAGAAGCGCTTTGTGCCAAACCCGATCGAAGGCCTTCGCAATGTCCAAACTAACGGCCAATGCCTCCCCCTTGGACTCTACTGCCTCCGCCCATCTGTGAGTTAGGTAGACCAGAAGATCACCAGCTGACCTACCACGGCGAAAACCGTATTGGCGGTCACTAATCAGCTGGTGATCCTCAAGGTACCTCATGAGCTGGCAGTTTACAATGGACTCCATTGTTTTGGAGAACAAGGAGGTGATGGCGATAGGCCGGTAGTTGGACGGGTCTGAGCGGTCGCCTTTTTTTAGGGATCGGGTGGACGAAAGCCGTCTTCCATGATTTTGGGACTACGCCTAGGGAGTAGGAGTACCGGAAAAAACGCGTTAAAACCGGTGCCAACTCTGGAGCACACGTCCTCAGCACAATTGGGGGGATTCCGTCAGGCCCACTCGACTTGTGGATGTCCAGGGAGAGGAGTGCTTTGCGAATCGAGCGCTGAGTGAACTGCACTTCCGGCATGGAGCACTCACACCGCGGGATGGTCGGCGGCGTACTCCCCCCGTCATCGAGAGTCGAGTTAGACGCAAAGAAAGAGCCTAGAAGATCGGCTTTCTCCTTTGCGGTGTGGGCCAGTGAGTCGTCCTCCCTGTGCAGAGATGGAAGAGATGGCTGACAGAAATTCCCCTGGACAGCCTTGGCGAGAGACCAGAATGTACGGGTTCCAGAAGGAAGACGAACTAGTTTCTCGCCAATTCTGCCTATGTGCTCTGACTTTGCCTTGGCAATGACTCTTTTGAAGGACCTGGAGGCGGAATTATACTTCTTTTTTAGAGCGCTGGTGTTTACATCCCTGGACGCTGATGCGTCAGCCCAGGCCTGGTAGCACTCCTGCTTATAGCATGATGCTATTTTACAGGAGCGACCAAACCATGGCTGAGATTTGCCTCCAATGGGCACCACAGAGGAAGGAATAAAAAGTTCCATACCCTGAAGTACCACATCAGCGACAGAATCCGCAACAACGTTGGGATCGTCCGGCGAGAAGCAAACCCGCCCCCAAGGGTAGGATGCAAAGAAAGACCGCATCCCATCCCAATCGGCTGACCTGTAGTGCCAAACACGGCGGCAGCCTGCAGAATGCAACCGCGATTTCAGCGTGAGTGGCACCACACTCCGGACAAGACAATGGTCCGAGGAGCCTAAAGGGGCGTCGACGGAAATCTGATATCCGTCCGGGTGAGAGGTCAGCAGAAGGTCCAACAGGGAAGGTGCATGATCCTCCACATCTGGAATCCGCGTAGGCGAAGTAACCAGTTGTGTCAGACCATATGACAAGGCAAAATCATGAACAGATCTCCCCGCATGATCGGTTAAACGTGAACCGAGCCATTCGGCGTGATGGGCGTTAAAGTCGCCGAGGATCAATATCTCTGCGGAGGGGATCTGCTGTAGCAACGAATCTGCAGCCATTTGGACGTGGTCGAAGAGTCGGTCTGTTTCGGCATTACCGCTGTGGGACCTATAGAGGCACCCGTAGATGCGCGGATGGTCGTCGCTGTCTACGCGTAGCCAAAGGATGGACAGGTCCGAACCTTCAAGTCTGCCGAGGCGTCGAGAACAGATGTCCTCTCTGACGTAAACGCAAACTCCAGCCCGAGGCACAAAGGAGTGTTCCAGTTTGTACCCCGGGTAGGAGAGATACGAGACATCAGCCGGAGAGGACACCTGCGTCTCGGTCAGAAAGAGCAGAGCCGGCCTCGCCGTCTCGAGATGGTAGTGGACGGCGTTTAGGTTGGAGTGAAGTCCCCTGATATTGCAGAAATTCACGGACAGCGTGGCAGGGGTCGCCTTGGTCTTGTTGCTCCGTTTGCCCCGAGCAGTTTTAGTCTTGAGCGGAATTTTGCCCCCCCCCCCCCCAGAATACGCGGGGCAGCCTGAGCACCCACGCTCAGAAGTGGAAAAACATGGTCGTGGATACTCAGCGAGGGATTCTCCAGGGGTGCTGGTACCCTCCTGGGGTAGTCTATCATTGAATTCCGCTACCATGTTGATGGGGGGGGGTATTTGGGCCTCCGGCCACCTGCACTCACCAGACGAAACGCGGAAGCAGAGCTTCCACTTCACGCCGGTATTCTGTGAGGTCGTGGTACCACCCCGGTTTGAGCCGGCCCATACGTGCGACAGCAAAGCTGCCGCGTGGCTCTACCACTGTACATGTATATATTTATTTGTATATATTTATATGTATATATTTATGTATATATTTATTTAAATTAGAATAAGAATCGTTCATAAATGCTGGACACGCGAAAGTTAAAAATGGACGAATTTATTCCACTTTGACTTTGATATGGAAACCTAAAAATAAAATAAAAGAATAATAAGCAGATTTAAACATGAAAAATTTAGCCTAATTATTATAACTTATATATGTTTCTACAAAAAAATGTGTATAATAATATATTCGTCCTATACTTAAGTACCCACAGAAATGTCGCATCTGAACATATTAATTTCATAATCTATATTTCATGACACGAGATGGCGTCTTAGCAATAATTTGTTTTATTATTATCCTATAATACTTTTTTATTGATTAAGTATCTTATTAACCGATGAAAAGTAATTCCTTGGTTTTTACTGACATTTCTTAAATTATTTGTGCAATATCTAAGTACACAAGACGGCATATTTTTATGAAGAGATTTTTTTTTAAATCAACACATCACGTGTAACTCTACAAGCGCCTAGCGAGTGAATGATTAAAGTGCGGTGTATGCACTGCAGTTGAGTGGAACATAGTAGCTGAATGCAGTGTCGCCTCTAGTACGTAGTACGTAATAGCTCAATGTTCCTAACTAAACAATATAACTCTTCCAAATTTAAAGTGATATTTCCACAATTATTTTTCTGTGCGGCAGTAAAGGGCCGGGCACCAGCTAGTTTCTATATGTCTCTTTTAATTCAATAAACGAGAATGTTGGTACACTGCATCAGTGTGTTTAATTTACTCGCCGTGCTCCCCACATCGCCCACAACTGAATATAGGCCTCCTTCAAGGAATGCTACAAAGCACGCTCCCACTTGTATCCGTCGACTTCCTGCACCTCTTATAGGTCGTCACTAAATGTAGTGGGGGGCCACCCTACACTTGCTTACCTGTACGAGGCCGCCACTCGAGATCAATTCTTCCTCAGAGATTGTCGATGCTTCGATCTAAATGGCCGATCCATTGTACTATTTGGTTTCTATGGTTCTACTGCAGATATCTTCATTACAAAGTCTATCATGCAGAGGAACTAACAGAATAGCCCTCTTCATAGCTCGCTGAGCGACCTTAAGCTTCCTCGTATGGCCAAAAATGAAGGACCACACCTCGGTTCCGAAAGTCATCACTGCCAACATACCGCAGTTTTCCAAAAGTAATCAAGACTGACATAGCCCAATGAATCAGTATGCTGAAATTTCTTGTATAGAAATATAGGTCATTGAGTTATATGTACTACGTACTAGAGAAGCTATTCCAAACAAAAAATGTCAACCTACCCGCGGGAAACAGTAGAGTCGCGCATGCGCAGTTGATAGCGCGAAAATTGTCATAATAAATAATTGTTTATTTTGTAGTATTGTTAATCGAGTACATTTTTTTTAATTTTCGTTTATTTTGCATATGTGCTAATTTAATATAAAATTATTATTAGCGCTGCTCGGCACTGCATGCATATCGAAGCCACAATAACAGATGTACGGATTGCAGTACAGTTCAGTTGAACATAGTGAGTGTTCGGAATGTCATATCTAGTGCGTTAGTACATATATATCGGTGGGGTAAGTATGTGAAGACCACCAAAATGCATTGAGGTAGAGCGGCGGAGTTTTATCTGCTCCAAATCCTCTCAAAAATGAGAGAACGCATGTGCCCTGAAGTAGGACCTGTGAGAATTTTAGTTTTTTATCAAACAAAAGTTTGTAAAGCAAATAAAATAATATCATACCTGTGGATAAGGGAACTCGAATCTCACATAGGTGTCGACGTCTTTAGGGTTAGGAACATTGTAAGCGATGCCGCGCACGATTGTCAACTCTAGATCCTTTTCATTAAGATCCGTATTGCATTGCACCACTGAGAAATCGCGATTTTCGTAGTGGAACTTCGGCGGATTTTGACCTAAGCTGAAAATTATCATAAAACTATATACCAACATTGCGCAACAAAAATGTAAGTTGAATTATATTTTTACGTGGGTCAGCTAAACCTGGGTAGGACATTTTTTTATCACGCTGTTTCCTGCATGTATAGTCCACAGGAGATGAGTCATTGCCATGTTTAATACTACTCATAGTCACTGATCTGGGTATTCAACATGAGACATACGAGATGCTACAAAATATTCAGTGGCATACCTTGGGGAGGCCTAAGTTCAGCAGTGGACTCGTGAGTGGCTGTAATGGTGATGATGATGATATTGGAAATGCTATGCCATCTATCAAAGGCTAACCATCATACCCAAGGAGTAGCATCAAGGAGAAGGATCGTGTAAAGAACTTTCATAGAACAGCCGGTTTTTTAGAGATCCTTTTGTACGGTTTGTGGCCAGAATCAGAGACTTGGCACCTTTTTACTGGCATTTCATCTTACTCGTCAGGGGTAACATAACTAATATTGATTCTTAGTCAAGGACAGATGAACGTCTATTCGCTTAGTATCAAGTGGACTGTTTGCTCAATAATCACCCTTAGTTGCATAAATTACAGACGTCATAGGCCGCAGAACGGGTTTCTGTTGGGGAAGAAAGGTTCGTGTAAAACTTCGTATCGGAAAGTTACGACTAGTTTTCTCACTTAGATAAGCTCATGATCAATAAGTATATTAAACTCAAATATTTTAATAACAGAGCCGTGGTAGCTCAGATGGTTAGTGCTCGCTGTAAATTTAATAGTACGCGAACAAACCGGGTTCAATCCCTGCCAGCACCAATGAAATTGTTAATTGCAATTTTAGGTGTTAATTACGTCCCGGCGGTGAGAAATAAAAAAATATTTGCAAGACGTGAAGTTTGCCAACACGCATTGGGGCAGAGCGGCGGACACTTCCTTGCCCTAACCTCTCAGAAATGAGCCTGTGGAGGAGGAGGAGGAGGCCTGTGCCTAGGAGTGGGACGTATAAAGGCTGTAACGTTAACTTTAATACAATAACATTAATTTATATATGACATATTTTGCCAGTTTGTAGCAGCACAAATACTTTTTATCTGACTGCTCCAAAGGGAGGGTAATATGTTTCTAGAGTATTCTTTAGCACGGTCTGCAGCCCAAACGGCTTGATGAATTTTAACACATGAGGCGTCGTTAGATTCTTCTTAATTGTGGGAGTTTTTTTGAAGTGAAAACTTCTTTAGCGGCGTTGTACACTTTTTTGAAATGGGTAAAAAATATTAAACCAGCGTCAGGACACGTGACCCTGATCAAAATTCGTAAGACGGATGGAGAGAGAGAGAGACAGCCGGCGCGGCGTAGGAGAAGAAGTATCCCCCTCTCTTTCTACGGTGCTGCGACTGCTGTTTCGTTTAGGCGGCGCAGGGCGCTTGCGCGAATGTTCGTGTGTGATAGTTAAAGCAATTCGTGCAAAATTATTTTGTAATCATTCCAAAATATCAAAAATGCACAACGTTAATATTCAAGTTTTCACTTCTGCCGGCACTCCCGCAGTGCAACCCGTCGATAGGATAGGGTGACAAACGAGCACACAGTCCACCTGATGGTAAGTGGTTGCTGTGGCCCATAGACATCTACATCTATCCTCGGTTACGAATCAAAATGCAGATGCGTTGTCACCCGTGAGGACTAAGATGGAATGCCTCGTTTCCAGTAAAAAAGGGTCTCCGGTTCTCTACACTCACCATACGAAACACAGCAGCAATGAGCTACTATTTGACGCTGGTATTCTGTGAGAGCGTGGTCCTTCCCCGGTCGAGCCGACCCATTCGTGCTACAACTATACTACTTATATAACTGCAGCATGGCTCTACCACGTAAAAGATAACAAAAAAAAATCTGTAAACATATAGGGCTTGTAGTGTGGAAATCAAAATCCTGACTTGTCTCGTAACGCTAAGCTACAATCCGAGTAATATCTAAATTCTTAGAGAAATCTTTAATAGCATACCTCTTAGCTACCATGACGACGTCGAGGTCCTGCTTGACGCTGGTGGCGAGGTTCTCGAAACGGTTGGTGTCAGCAACGTGGCCCATGGCCTTGCAGTGGTCCCTGTTGGCCAGGCACAGCTTCAACTGCGCGGTCAACTGCTGCTGCAACCGCTCCAGAATATCACCACCTAGCTCCGGTTTAATATCCGGGAGGTTATCGGCCGGCTCGCAGTCCTCCTTGGACACTACGTCGAAACTGAAAATATTTCATAATTACTGATCTAGAAATTTGCCTCATAAGATGTAATAATATAATATATACATCCAATTTTTACTTATATGGTAGAGTTAGGTTGCAGCTTCATTATAGTTGGAGCACGAATGGTTGGAAATGGTCTCTCACAGAAAATATTAATGTAAATAGCAGCTTAATACTGCTGCGTTTTGTATGCTGAGTGTAAAAAACAAGAAACCCTTTTATTGCATATGACTCAGGGGTGACAACGCATATGCATTTTGATTCTTAATCGAGGACAAATGTAGATGTCTATGGGCCACAGCATCCACTTACCATCAGGTGGACTGTGTGCTCATTCGTAACCTCATTCTATAAAAAAAAGGTTTATTTTTCTCAATTTCACCTCACGGGATTGCCGTGGGCTGCGTCAGTTACTCAGATTTACTCACGTTTGTTCAATTTTCTTCTTGTCCTGTGGCGGCAACGGCAGCGATTTGAGATCTACCAGGAGCCCCCCACGAGCCGCCTCTATGACGGAATCGAAGCCCTTTGCCGCGCGTAAATATTCTTTGGCTAGATCGATGTTGCCTGATAAATAAAAAAATAATAATATCTAAATTGATCTTCTTTCGTTCATCGACTTTAGATGACTTTCGATGGATTCTATACAACATTACACTTTTATGAGATCTTTACTAAGGGAATTTGTTTTACAATCCTAAAAGATTCTAAAGATATCAACTTTTATTATCATTAGTGCTACTGATGGAGAAAAATAAATAATTTCCCGTTTTTTTTTATAAAAGGTCCAATTTCCATTACAATGACATCTTATAGCAAAAAAGATTAAGGTAAGTATTCGGGATATAATTTAAAAAAAAAAGCTATAAAATATGTATAAATTGGTTTACTATAGGTCTATCACATGAAACTGAATAAATTCAAGTAGATAGATAGGTATGTCTGTGTACCTAAAAAGACATTTTTGTTTATACACAATATCACATGAAACTGAATAAATTCAAGTAGATAGATAGGTATGTCTGTGTACCTAAAAAGACATTTTTGTTTATACACAATATCACATGAAACTGAATAAATTCAAGTAGATAGATAGGTATGTCTGTGTACCTAAAAAGACATTTTTGTTTATACACAATATCACATGAAACTGAATAAATTCAAGTAGATAGATAGGTATGTCTGTGTACCTAAAAAGACATTTTTGTTTATACACAATATCACATGAAACCGAATAAATTCAAGTAGATAGATAGGTATGTCTGTGTACCTAAAAAGACATTTTTGTTTATACACAATATCACATGAAACTGAATAAATTCAAGTAGATAGATAGGTATGTCTGTGTACCTAAAAAGACATTTTTGTTTATACACAATATCACATGAAACTGAATAAATTCAAGTAGATAGATAGGTATGTCTGTGTACCTAAAAAGACATTTTTGTTTATACACAATATCACATGAAACTGAATAAATTCAAGTAGATAGATAGGTATGTCTGTGTACCTAAAAAGACATTTTTGTTTATACACAATATCACATGAAACTGAATAAATTCAAGTAGATAGATAGGTATGTCTGTGTACCTAAAAAGACATTTTTGTTTATACACAATATCACATGAAACTGAATAAATTCAAGTAGATAGATAGGTATGTCTGTGTACCTAAAAAGACATTTTTGTTTATACACAATATCACATGAAACTGAATAAATTCAAGTAGATAGATAGGTATGTCTGTGTACCTAAAAAGACATTTTTGTTTATACACAATATCACATGAAACTGAATAAATTCAAGTAGATAGATAGGTATGTCTGTGTACCTAAAAAAGACATTTTTGTTTATACACAATATCACATGAAACTGAATAAATTCAAGTAGATAGATAGGTATGTCTGTGTACCTAAAAAAGACATTTTTGTTTATACACAATATCACATGAAACTGAATAAATTCAAGTAGATAGATAGGTATGTCTGTGTACCTAAAAAGACATTTTTGTTTATACACAATATCACATGAAACTGAATAAATTCAAGTAGATAGATAGGCATGTCTGTGTACCTAAAAAGACATTTTTGTTTATACACAATATCACATGAAACTGAATAAATTCAAGTAGATAGATAGGTACGTCTGTGTACCTAAAAAGACATTTTTGTTTATACACAATATCACATGAAACTGAATAAATTCAAGTAGATAGATAGGTATGTCTGTGTACCTAAAAAGACATTTTTGTTTATACACAATATCACATGAAACTGAATAAATTCAAGTAGATAGATAGGTATGTCCGTGTACCTAAAAAGACATTTTTTGTTTATACACAATATCACATGAAACTGAATAAATTCAAGTAGATAGATAGGTATGTCTGTGTACCTAAAAAGACATTTTTGTTTATACACAATATCACATGAAACTGAATAAATTCAAGTAGATAGATAGGTATGTCTGTGTACCTAAAAAGACATTTTTTGTTTATACACAATATCACATGAAACTGAATAAATTCAAGTAGATAGATAGGTATGTCCGTGTACCTAAAAAGACATTTTTGTTTATACACAATATCACATGAAACTGAATAAATTCAAGTAGATAGATAGGTATGTCTGTGTACCTAAAAAGACATTTTTGTTTATACACAATATCACATGAAACTGAATAAATTCAAGTAGATAGATAGGTATGTCTGTGTACCTAAAAAGACATTTTTGTTTATACACAATATCACATGAAACTGAATAAATTCAAGTAGATAGATAGGTATGTCTGTGTACCTAAAAAGACATTTTTGTTTATACACAATATCACATGAAACTGAATAAATTCAAGTAGATAGATAGGTATGTCTGTGTACCTAAAAAGACATTTTTGTTTATACACAATATCACATGAAACTGAATAAATTCAAGTAGATAGATAGGTATGTCTGTGTACCTAAAAAGACATTTTTGTTTATACACAATATCACATGAAACTGAATAAATTCAAGTAGATAGATAGGTATGTCTGTGTACCTAAAAAAGACATTTTTGTTTATACACAATATCACATGAAACTGAATAAATTCAAGTAGATAGATAGGTATGTCTGCGTACCTAAAAAGACATTTTTGTTTATACACAATATCACATGAAACTGAATAAATTCAAGTAGATAGATAGGCATGTCTGTGTACCTAAAAAGACATTTTTGTTTATACACAATATCACATGAAACTGAATAAATTCAAGTAGATAGATAGGTACGTCTGTGTACCTAAAAAGACATTTTTGTTTATACACAATATCACATGAAACTGAATAAATTCAAGTAGATAGATAGGTATGTCTGTGTACCTAAAAAGACATTTTTGTTTATACACAATATCACATGAAACTGAATAAATTCAAGTAGATAGATAGGTATGTCTGTGTACCTAAAAAGACATTTTTGTTTATACACAATATCACATGAAACTGAATAAATTCAAGTAGATAGATAGGTATGTCTGTGTACCTAAAAAAGACATTTTTGTTTATACACAATATCACATGAAACTGAATAAATTCAAGTAGATAGATAGGTATGTCTGTGTACCTAAAAAGACATTTTTGTTTATACACAATATCACATGAAACTGAATAAATTCAAGTAGATAGATAGGTATGTCTGTGTACCTAAAAAGACATTTTTGTTTATACACAATATCACATGAAACTGAATAAATTCAAGTAGATAGATAGGTATGTCTGTGTACCTAAAAAGACATTTTTGTTTATACACAATATCACATGAAACTGAATAAATTCAAGTAGATAGATAGGTATGTCTGTGTACCTAAAAAGACATTTTTGTTTATACACAATATCACATGAAACTGAATAAATTCAAGTAGATAGATAGGTATGTCTGTGCACCTAAAAAGACATTATTGTTTATACATAATATCACATGAAACTGAATAAATTCAAGTAGATAGATAGGTATGTCTGTGTACCTAAAAAGACATTTTTGTTTATACACAATATCACATGAAACTGAATAAATTCAAGTAGATAGATAGGTATGTCTGTGTACCTAAAAAGACATTTTTGTTTATACACAATATCACATGAAACTGAATAAATTCAAGTAGATAGATAGGTATTTCTGTGTACCTAAAAAGACATTTTTGTTTATACAAAATATCACATGAAACTGAATAAATTCAAGTAGATAGATAGGTATGTCTGTGTACCTAAAAAAACATTTTTGTTTATACACAATATCACATGAAACTGAATAAATTCAAGTAGATAGATAGGTATGTCTGTGTACCTAAAAAGACATTTTTGTTTATACACAATATCACATGAAACTGAATAAATTCAAGTAGATAGATAGGTATGTCTGTGTACCTAAAAAGACATTTTTGTTTATACACAATATCACATGAAACTGAATAAATTCAAGTAGATAGATAGGTATGTCTATGTACCTAAAAAGACATTTTTGTTTATACACAATATCACATGAAACTGAATAAATTCAAGTAGATAGATAGGTATGTCTGTGTACCTACCTAAAAAGACATTTTTGTTTATACACAATATCACATGAAACTGAATAAATTAAAGTAGATAGATAGGTATGTCTGTGTACCTAAAAAAGACATTTTTGTTTATACACAATATCACATGAAACTGAATAAATTCAAGTAGATAGATAGATATGTCTGTGTACCTAAAAAGACATTTTTGTTTATACACAATATCACATGAAACTGAATAAATTCAAGTAGATAGATAGGTATGTCTGTGTACCTAAAAAGACATTTTTGTTTATACACAATATCACATGAAACTGAATAAATTCAAGTAGATAGATAGGTATGTCTGTGTACCTAAAAAGACATTTTTGTTTATACACAATATCACATGAAACTGAATAAATTCAAGTAGATAGATAGGTATGTCTGTGTACCTAAATAGACATTTTTGTTTATACACAATATCACATGAAACTGAATAAATTCAAGTAGATAGATAGGTATGTCTGTGTACCTAAAAAGACATTTTTGTTTATACACAATATCACATGAAACTGAATAAATTCAAGTAGATAGATAGGTATGTCTGTGTACCTAAAAAGGCATTTTTGTTTATACACAATATCATATGAAACTGAATAAATTCAAGTAGATAGATAGGTATGTCTGTGTACCTAAAAAAGACATTTTTGCTTTTAGTCAATAGATAGAGGCAGTTAGAACTTTTTATTTTGGTCTTTATTTTCACTTTGGCGGTGTAAGAATATACACCACCCCATATCATCACGTGGGTGTGGTAAGAGACGAGAGAGGGAAATAAAGCAGGAGATGGGCAGCAGCGTCTTCCGTCCTCGTCTAACTAAAATAAAAAACTACGGTTGCCATTCCACTTGCCATGCGTGGCAACTGTCAAATATCCCCATACAAGGTGTTCTATGCGGCAAGCCTATGTTCAACAGAGGACTTTAATGGACTATACGGTAACGTTTTTTTTGCTACCTGTAAGAAACGTTATTCCAACTATATTATAAAAACCACAA